CTGACAATATACCTCTACCTGAGCCCTAGCTGAAAAGAAACGTGACTTTCTTACCCCACGAGACTTTTAAAACCAGCTGCAAACGTGGCCCTCAGGATATCAAAGCTAAACTGCAAGGTTGTCAGCAAGTGTGGAGAGATTTTGATTCATGTAATGAAGAGTCCTATGGTGAATGAATATAGGCTGACCCTACACTTTTAGAATAGGGCATTATACCTGCCTTACAAATCCCCCAGGTATGCTCACTGCTTGCATCCTTAGTCCAACCTCAGGAAAGCACCATTAATCTAGTCAAATTAACTTTTATTGTAGAAGGCAAATTCTTGTGGCAGGGTCTGTTTTCTGCTTGTACAATGCCTAGCACAACAGGAGGCCATGACTGCAATAAAAATAATAGCAATGTGCAAAGATTAAAATGTACAGCATTTAAAGATGTCCCAAACAAGAAGCTATTTTCCTTTTTTCAGAAAAATGGTTCTCCTTTTCACTAGGTTTCTTCAATTAGAAACTGGACTTTGAAAGCGAAGTCCTCTTAACTGAGTACATACCTCTTAAGTACCTTGTCTATGGACCTTAAGTCTCCCACCTCTTTTTTTAAAAACCTACTCAGTCATCCCATATGCTGAAATCTGAATAGACTGAATACAGCATTGTTAACATTCCAACAAGGTTCATTATTAATCCTTTTTATTTGAATAATAGGACATCAAATTCCTGCTCTTAAAATCCAGTGGGTACCAAACAAAGTTTGAGTAATAAGGCAGATACACCATTTTGTGGGAAAATCAATATAAAATGTATTATAGCAGTGCTTTAAAAGCAAACTATTACCACATATCCCATCTGTGTGCAATTTAAAATAAAACAAAACATTGTAGAGATATACATTTGTGTAAAACTGTATTGAGTACAATTTCACTAATGTGGTGGATCAAACCTGGGATCTTTATTCAGTGTTTACTCAGAAAAAGCTTGCACTGATTAAAAATAGAAACTGACAAAAGATCCCAGGATTTGACTCCTAAAAATATGAAGCTACAACTTTGCCATCATCAAAAAGCAGCTTAGTCTAGCGCAGGCCTGGGAAAAATATGGCCTGCGGGCCAGATCCGGCCCCCCCAGTCACTGGATCCAGCCGTGGACGCAGTGGGGAGTCCCAGACAGGTTCCCTACTTGCCCCGCAGCCCACTCAGAAAAGCATCCCTGGGGCCATTTCTCTTTCAAAATTGTGATCTCAGAGGGGAGGGGGAAAAAGGCTTCAGGTGCTGCCCCTGCTCCCAGCACAATCCCATTGGCCAATTCCCTTACCCCAAGTTCCCCGCTACACTCAACCTCCATCCCAGACCCTTCACTTCCTCCATTAGTATAATGGAAGAACATGGCCCTTGACCACATTCCAAAATCTTGGAGTGGCCTCCTGTCAAAAATTATTGCCCATCCCTGATCTTGTGGATAGGATGCAAGAGATCTGGGTTCTACTCCAAGCTCTATTATTTGCCTACTGTGCATGAATTCTCACTTTTTGTCCTCTTTATTGAGGTTTCAAGCTCTAGGGCAAGAGTTCTCAAACTTCACTACACCACAACCTCCTTCTGACAAGAAAATTACTGTTACCCCAGGAGCACGAACAGATCTGGCCTAAGCTCCCACTGCCCCAGGTAGAGGGGGCTACAACCCCCATGGATTGTTTCCTACAGAGTATCCATACCGTTTAGCATAATGAAGTCCTGATCTCAGTTGGGGGCCTATAGATAGTTCATTAATACAAATTCATAATACTTGTGACGTTAATTGTGGTACCAACTTGCCAAATCATCCCTCATGTAAAAACAAGAATTTGCCCCAAAGTAGTCTTTAATTAATAGATGTAATAAATGTAAGTTTTATCATTCAGTAATGAAGGAGAGGTAAAGTACATAATGTGCTTGAACTTCTGTATGTGATAAATTACACTTTTTTTAAAAATAGCTTTTTTGTATTTTCTGGCAGCAGCCTGGATCTATTTTGCAAGTAGAGCCAAAATAGCTCTCTCTAAAAGATGGCTGAGGTGGGGAATACACTGTGAAGAATATGGCAGTTCCTCTTAATGTCCTCCATGATATGCTTCCTAATATCCTATCTCCACATACCTTCCTAGCACTAATGTTGCCTCAGCATGAAAAGATTATCACAGTTCATCTGCTCCCACTGCGTGGAATCCCAGACCTGGCCCAAGTCTAGGCTGGCAAGTTATTGCACAGCAACTCAGCCCCAACACTGTAACTTTCAAGGCGCCCGAACCGGCAAGGCATTGAGAAAATTGCCAGTGCTGCAATCAATCTTCTGGAGTTTAATTTAGAGAGTCTAGTTAAGACTTGCTATACTGAACTCAGAGGGTGCCCCCACCAGCGTCCAGTACACCTCCTTTTGTGAAAAGTAAGGGAAACTGACAGAAGCACTTGCTCCCATCAGTCTCCTGCTGTGAGGATGCCATCAAGCTCAGCTTAAGGTAAGCTCAGCTATTCTACATAGCTGGGGTTGCGTACCTTAAGCCAAGCTGCTGGGTCTAGTCTAGTTAGAGCGCTCACACCTCTGTGAGAAGTGTAGAATTTGCTGTGGTCTAGTCAGCGTGCTGGGGTGCCAGGACGGACACTTGGACACTATGGTGTGGTACTGCTTCCTGACAGGCTTCCAGTACCTTTCCCACAATGCCTGTTCTGATGTCTCTGCTCATCTGTTTGAACTCTACCGCCCTGCTCAGGTGACCAAGACCTCCCCTTGCATTCTTTTTGAAATTTGAAAGGCCCTTCCCATTGCTCAGCAACACATGGTATGTTCTCAGCCCATCGCTCCAGCTGGCCATGCCTGCTCCAAGCATCAGGAGATTCCTGGATTGGAGCTATGCCAGGGTACTAGACAGCTGTGGATCCATTTTCACAAACGAAGCATGCAGCACAGAAGGCATTGAAAGATGGTGCCAGAGTATTGATGGAAGTGCAGGGGCTGTTGGGATACAAAGCAACGTACCACAGGGCATTGGGGCAGGACCCAGGATATCCTATGTCTCCCCACAAACCTCTGAGGCAGAGGAGGAAGAAGTGTTCACTAGAATAGCTGCCCAGAATGCACCACTCCCGCTGTGGCCATGCTAATGTACTGACAGAAGGGACACCCAATAATGTTTTTGTTTTTGCACTTTGTGAGCAGTGCTGTAACTGTCACTGCTTTACATCTGCCAGTGTAGACACAGCCCTGGAAAGAAGATTCCTCTTCCCATGCTTCTTGCAAGAGGGGGAGATCTGTGCACATAAGGTATCCCCCATGTACAGGTTAAGTGGACTTGATCAGACCATTAAGGCCTAGTGCGACAAGACTATACATACTTCGGTGAACACTTATTCATTCAAGTGGTCTCTCTGACTTCAGTAGATTTACTCATTTCTAGAAGTATTCCTCAAGGGTGGTAGGATAGCACAACTGGACACAGCGATTCAACTGACAAAATGTAATAAATAGTAATCGTATGTACAGGCAGTCCCCGGGTTATGTACAAGATAGGGACTGTAGGTTTGTTCTTAAGTTGAATTTGTATGTAAGTCGGAACTGGTACATATTGTAGGGGAAACTCTAGCCAAACATTTCTCCAGAGCTCAGTTTTATTCTCCCACACCTCACTACCCTCAGTCCTTTATTCTCAAGCTGAGGTGTCTGCTGAGAAAAGCCGTTCCGCGTCTCCCTGGTCTGCTGGGGGGGGGGGCGCTAGCTTCGCGTCTCCCTGGTCTGCTGGGGGGAAGCAGCTAGTGCGGGGTTGCCTTACCCCGTTTGTAAGTAGGGATCCGATGTAAGTCGGATCCATGTAACCCAGGGACTGCCTGTACTTCTTATGTAGCACTTTGTACCAGTAGATATCAAAGCACTTTTACAAAGGGGTCTATATCATTTTCCACAGATAAGGACGCTGAAGGGAATGGAGAGGTGAAGAGATTTGCCCTCGGTTACCCAGCAGGCAAATTTCAAAGAGAAAATTTTCAGAGAAAAATAAAATATATAGCAAATCTGCCAGATTGTCCAGACAAAGCTGTCAAAACATTTTCAGCCCATTCAGAATGATCCACACCATTTAAAAAAAAAAAAAAAAAAAAAAAAAAACACTATCACAATCTGAGAAGAATGATGTCTATGCTGGTTGAAAAGCGGTGCTTAGTTAATATACATGAAATGGCATAGCAAAGCCATTAGAAGTGCCTCAATTACTTGGTATCCAATTTGAAGCACCTTCCTCTCTTCCCCCATCAACTAGTGACCCAAAAGCTGTTCTCCAAGCACAACATAAAACTGAATTAAAATGTGATGTCCAAAAGGATGTAGAAGACAGTATGAAAAAGATTAAAATATCATTGTAGATTACTAATGTCTTCTCCAATCTTGTTTCCAGAAACAAGAGGAACTTAACATGAACATCCAAACCATTTAAGTCTTCTAGCAAGACTGTCCTTCTAATACTAGAAGCTTAAAGAGGATTTTCAAAGAACTTTTCTTTCTTGTGGTGTAGTGAATTGTCCTTTATTAACACCCCCAGTCTTCACACTATCAGATATAATTTGCAGTTCATTAGTTTTCAGACACAGCTTTTTAACATCTTTTTCCAATGAAATCAATATAAGAACCACTAAATCTTTTGATCTACTCAACTCCAAATAGAAGATTCTAAAGCTTGAACAGCTGTTAATATTAAATATAATGATGTACTAAGGGATAAAGTGAACAGAGGCAATATGTAAGGAGCATGAAAAGTCTCCAAGTAAGCCATGGCTGAAAATGATTCTGAAAATAGTAAGGAAACAAGGGAAGCTGTTCATTTAACTCCATAATTTTCAGGTCCTGTGGAATCAGGAAATACATGCTTTTCTACACCCTCTCCTTCCTTTTGCAACCACTTGTTAGAAGGCATTTTTATCAAGATGAACAGAGCATAAAGAAATACCGGTAATTCTGCAGAATTACCAAGAAGTCACACTTACCCAGAAGAAGAAATTAAACACAAACAAGAGATATTTCAGATAAACAGTCATCCAGTCATCTTGCTCGGCTTTGTTAAAATGGGACATTGTTGGAGTTCCTAGAAACAAACAAACAAACAAACGATAAGTGTACACACCCTACATTTTCAAACTGATTATTCCTCCCCCCAAAACCCTCAGACACATCCTTTTGTTCTAGAACAGAATGTAAGGTAAAGTTCTACACTGAAAAGTGACTTTAAAATAGCATTATGAGGCCAGGTTTTGATGATTTTTAGATCAAATATGCTCAATTTGCAAATTAAAAAAGGTATGTTTTCTGACTTCCAATCCTGTAAATTCACATTGACTTCAGTGTCAAGCTGGGTTCTTTTCTTTTTGTCAGCTTCACCACTAACTGTCTGCATACAAATCTTCATCGGCTCCCATGGTTCTCAGCAACATATGTAAAATGTCCACTGAATTAAAAGAACTGTAATTACATTATAATTCTATTATCTGACTTTCCTTTATCCAAAACCCCCAGTTATCCAAATCTGTAGCATGGTCCCCCATGTAGCCCTATTTTAGTTGATAGGGCTTCTGGTTATCCACATATCCAAAATTTTGGATGTCCCCAGGGCACTCGGATAATGGAGATTACTGTATTAGGAATTCAGTCATGACATTCGTTACTGATAGATGGGAAGGACTGGAATCTAGGTGCATCCCTCTGAGAGTGCTGGGTCTACATGGTGAATAAGTGTAAAATACAACGAAAACAAATTAAAGTCAGAAGGTTGAGATGCAGGAAGAATTTGTGGAAAGATCAATCAGGTTAAATAATATCTACTGGGCTAGAAAGATAAGAAGAATTGATGTTCCTAGGTAAAGACTTTGTTAATTGGAAGCTCAGGACTGAAAGAATCCATGATTTAATTTAATATCACACAGAAATCCCTTTAGACAACTCAAAAACCATAAATGACAACAGGCAAATGTCAAGTCAAGGTTCATTTTTATAAACTACACAAAACACTCCAGTATAGTATATAAATGTCTGAATTAAGATTATCCAAATAACCAATTGCACCATGCTCAATTTTCCTTCTAATTTTTTCCATCCATGTGTGGAATACATTTTGTTATATTCACTGAGGTACGTGTGAATGTGCTCCACCAGTAGAAACACATGCCGCCAGCTGTGGGCACTCTTAATCAGCTGGGTGACACTTGAATCTCTCCTGGGTGGCTGCCCAAGCTCTCAGTTTACAGGGAATATTGACCACTCTAGAAACAAATTCTGAGACAACTGTATCTATTCCTTACACAGCTTCATCTTGTTTCAGGAATATCTCCAGCCTAAAAAAGCTTTCAGAGAATGTGGATCACCAGGAAATTTAAAAAGCTTGATCACTCTGAAACTTTGTGTGATTTGTCCAAAGCTTTCTAGAAACTTTTTTTTTGCAAGGATAAGATCTGGCATGAGAACTCCAACATGGATTGGTTTCATTCTGAGGAGATCAAGAGGTATTAAAAAATTAGGTTTACAAGAGGAGGGTAATGGACTAAAATAATAGGAGGAATTTTCACTTCTCCAGACTGTCTGCATTTTTAGAAAGTTATACACAATGTATTGTAGTGTATATCAACAAAATGTGAGTTAGATGAGTGGTATATGTACCCAGATAGCACTTAGAGGTCTTCTGAAAGTATATCCACTCATCTAGTTATTTGCCTAGTTTTACCAAAAGGCTACATAAAAAGCACTAGTAAAGTCAGTACAAAGTAAGTTTCATACATACAGTGACTTGTTATACTGCTCTATATACTAAATGTAATTACAATGTTTATATTCTAGTTGATTTGTTTTATAATTATTTTTACCATATAAGTAAGCAATTTTTCAGTAATTGCATGCTGTGACACTAGTATTTTTATTTCTGTCTTTGTAAGCAACTAGTTTTTATGTGAGGTGAAACCTGAGAATATGCAAGAAAAGTCAAACACCCAAAAGAGGTACAGTAGTCTGGAAAGAGTCAGAGTAAGGATGTTAAATTGCGGTTTATTGACTAATCGAGTAGACAATGGAATTTCCATTGACTATAGGAAACCCCAAATTGCAACCGCCAGAGTTGCAACCTCCCGCATTTACAACTATTTTTTGAAGTGCAGAAGGGCTCAAAACCACCCAACATACGTTCTTGGCCTGCTTTTACGACGGCATACGGCGCCTATCATCAATGAGGGCTCAAGTTACGATGTCTCCAACTTGCGACGCTTCCCCAGGAACCAATCGCGTCACAAGTCATGGGTCGCCTGTACTCGACTAGTCGATAGGCACGTCCAAATTCCTCTTTTCAAGTGTACATTTCAAAACAGGCAGCCAGGAGTCAGTGGGACTTTCCCAGTGGAGGCTCTTGTGCATTTCAAAGCCATGGAGCCCAGAGTCAGCTGGGGACTCCCCAGCTGACCCCGGGTTCCGCTGAAATGCTGCTCAGAACCCAGGGTCAGCTGGGGAAATGCCGCACAGAATCCGGAGTCAGCTGGGGAGACCCCAGCTGACCCCGGGCTCTGCTGAAATGCCGCAGGGAGCCCGGGATCGGTTGGGGAGTCCCCAGCTGACCCCAGGCTCCATGGTGCTGCCCCTTTGAAACACAGAGGTGGAGATGGAGTCCCCAACTGACCCCAGGTTCTGGAGAAATGTCACTCGCAACCCAGGGTTAGCTGGGGAGTCCCCAGCTGACCCCGGACTCCATGGTGCTTCAGCGTTTTAAAGGAGCAGTGCTGCACAGCTGAGCCACGGATCAGCTGTGCAGCAGCTGCTGCTTTGAAGTACCCCTCCTCCCCGGCCCCCTTTGCTGTTTCTATATCATAGGGGCAGCAAGGAGGGGGAGGGGGGAAAGTCGGTCGACTAGTCAACAGACTATCTGATAAGCAAATGCTTACCGGATAGTCAACTAGTCCTTAACATCCCTAGTTGAGAGCCAGCAGGTTAGGTAATACTACCCAGTAAGCATTACCTAGTAAGGTTAACCAGATACCCATTCACATCCTAAATAGGAACTGGTCTTGTATTTTTATTAATAAATTCAAAGATACAATATGCATCTGGCATCAAAATAGAAGAAATAGTTAAGACTTAGAGGAATGGATTAGGCAAACAGACTCAAAGGTGGAATATGAAATTAATGTAGAATGATGTGCATAGGTAGAAATGATTCCCAAGGTAAATACAGTTTTACATTACAACAAATGAATTAATGAGGCAGAGGAACAGGCACCGGGTGTACTGGCAAACTGAAACATTACATTTTTGGTCAACTGTGTAATAGTAGTAGTAGTAGTAGTAGTAGTAGTAGTAGTAGTAAAGAAGTCAACCAAGTAGGGAATACTAGCTGGACTTACCCAGCGTTGCCTGGGAAATGAGAAGAACAAATTGTAGGAAATTTAGGAAAGGAGGGGACCCTGAGCCAGGGGACCCCCAGAGCCACAGTCCCTGGGGGCTGATGGCTCCTGGCCCACACCTGACCCTGTGAGAGCAGCAGGACCCCCCTCCCCGCAGGCCCAAGCAGCCAGCCCCCAGGAGAACAGTACACAGTCATGTGGCCAGTAGCAAGGGGACTTCTCTTTCCAAGGTTGGCTCAGGGATCCACCCGCCCTGCCTTGGCAAGCAAAAGCTCAGAGCTCACATCTAACCCTGACGTCTGGAACCAGACACAGAAGAGCCCCACTCACAATACGAAGAGCAGCTGGCTGGTTTCACAGCAGTGTAACGCATTGAAGGTTTAACCCAGCCCCTCCGCCCTGTGCTGCAGCAGGCACACTGATTCCTTCTGCTCGGATAAGCCCAGCAAGCTGAGCAGAAAGGCTGCCGGCTTTGGTTTTGGTTTCCGGGGGAAGGGGCAGAGGGGCTGGCAGGTGGGGAGCAACCCCGGGTGGAGGGGAGGTTACACACAGGAGGGGTGACCCAGCTTGCACCTGGGGCTGCAGGTGCCATGGGGGGCAGGGCGGGTGCCCGAGCCGTTGTGCGCATGGGGGGGGGGGGGCACTGCATGCTGGCCCGGGGGGGGGGGGGAGGGGGGCGC